ATGCTACCGAACCGTACACTAATTTAAATCACGACTTATTAAATGACGTAAATTACTATACTCTATTTTAATTTAATCGTTATTTATTGACACCTGTACAATATGATAAAACATTTTGCATTAAATTGACGTATAAAATGCAATACCTAAATAAAAGTATATAAATTTAAAGTGAAATGACTTGTCGAATTAAGTAACGCTATCCCTAACCATAAGAAGAAAAAAATCGATATTTATAAATGATTAATTTTCTGCATCTGACTGTACTCGATCGACTTTTCTTGCCCTCTTTTATATATCGAGGTCACACGTGACCTTGTTTTTGAGCGCAATGGTATGCAAATTTCTCGACTTTGCCTGTAGATGAGACACGGTGCCGATTTCCTGAAGAAAATTATCAATGAGTTAACTTTTCTATTATCGCACAGAAGAGTAATCAATGTGCCGCGTCGCGGTTGTTAACGGTCACGATGACAACAGCTGCGTCAATAGTTATGTAATAGATTATCTAGGAATATAAAAATTTAATGAAAAGAAGTAAAAAGATATTTTTCTATAAACTTGTAAAACAAGTATTAATCGATCTTTTCTTAATTTTTCAAATTTTATCTTGTAAAATAAATATTGATAAATCTATTTGACTAACAAAAATAAAATAAGAATAAGAAAATATTTGAATTAGAACGCACATACACAAAACTTAATATTCTTTATGAATACACTTACGAAACTTTTGCTTCGTTATAATAAGAACAGTTTTTATTTCTTGCATTTGCATTAAGCATTAAAAAAGCAATTCATGTAATGCTACTTACTTTTCACTTCTTTAAGTATATAACTTTATTACGAGAACTGTGTGCAAACCTTAGAATTTTTGGCACGGGGAAACTACATTGTAAAAAATATAGCACAATAAAAACTTTGAGTTTATCGGCGATTTAGATCGTTGATGTTGCACAATGTGAATAAAATATACATGATTTCAGCATATACAAAATAAATAAAAGGATTTGTTTGGATATACCATTTTAACTAAAACGTCTAAAAATTTTTAAAGGCAAAGTTTCTATTTGGTTATTAATACTAATTAAATTTTTTTATTAATATTAATTAGATAAGATTAGTAGTTAATGAAAATCACATAGTTAAATACACTTTATGAAAAATTTTTAAAGTATTATTTACTGTTGTGAAAGTAGTTGCTTGCTATCCTATAATAGCAGGAGGCAATTTAATATTAATCAGTGATCACATTATGAGTTGCACTTTTACACACCTCGGTCTCACCATAATCATCAGTATTATTAACAGAAATAAAGAGAATCGTACATCAAGACGAAGAAATGTTTTTTCTCCAACAAAAATTTTCTCCATAGCAAGTGTCGCATAATTAACCTTAATTGAGACTTATAAATGATAATTCCTTCATTCTTTCTTTTTTTTTCTCGTAGAATATCATAGTTCAAGGCTCTGAATCGACCAAATGAATCCTGTATGTCATCAAATGACATTTGCGTCTATTCACATACAAAATTATTTCTTTATACAAAACTATACATTGCATATAATATAATTATACATAGAATGCAGAGATTAAATTAAAATATATGTTGCATCTACAAATTTCTTATAGAAATAGTAAAAAGAAAATTATAATTATTACCAGTGCTTTTAAGCTGACTGTTGAACGTTTAAATATACTTATATTTTAAATTTAATACGTTACTGATATTTAATTAAAATTCATTCTTTCACCACATCATCTCGTATCTCTTTTGGTAAATTTTTTTCATATTTCCGCGTAGCTCATCACTCTGATATCCGTTATGATCGTCGTGTTATACTGACCCTCGAAGGCACTCGCAACACACATGCCGTCGCTTAGAGTGATGAAAAAGCGTGGCCGACAAGTCGATGCCCGCCGGAGATCCGAGAGCCAGCAACGAGGATGAGTCCTCATTCGGGCTGCACATATTTCCCGGGCCGTTTCCTCGTCATAAAATGAAACTATTACTTTATCAGTTTCCTTCCCCGCGTCCCCTGTCCGAGTCAACGAACTTCCACATTTCCTCATTTGTCTTTTCGTTTTCTTACTCCTCTGTCCATCCCGTACGTTGGCGGCCCTTCTCGCGTGTCTTAACCGAAGCTCCACGAGACTGCCACGAGGATCGGAGGGAACAAGACTGTATACAGGAGGGCTGTACAGCCGTTGGCTGCTGGGATACCAAAGATTCCTTCAGAGATTGCGGACGGAATTTCGCTGCAGTGACGGACGAACTCCTCTCCACGTCTTGTCTTATCTTACCCTTGCCGGTATTATAGCCTCGTCCCCTTATACCCCTCCTAAGACGGAGGTATCCTACGCCAGACAGATAAAATTCCAGGAAAAGCGAAAAGGGCCTCCTTCAACTCCCTTTTCCTCTGGAAACAGGAACCTTCACCGGAGCGAAACTACGCTGCCGTATCCCATATCCTGCGACGTCGGAAGGAGACTCTAAATCGAAAGATCCCAGTTTAGATGGATCCTGGATGCTCGAGGTGCTAGATCTCCCGTCATTCGAAATCGATTCGGCATGTCGGCAAACACTTTTCCGCCATCAAACCACTCCCCCGTGCGTCTAGTAGGTAAAATCACTTTTTATGTACGCAGGAATCGCGTCACAGGCTAAAATAATAATCGATAAGACTACGCACACATCACATTTCTTTATCTATATATACGTTTCTTTTACCTATAGATATATTGCAATGAATTTGAAGCTGACATTTTCGTATAAAGTATGTTAAAATATTAACAGCTTCAAATTCTCTAAGATAAATCTGAAAACTTTTACAAAGTAAATCCAAAAGATTCTACAGTCAGTTTTTGATATAAAGAAAATATTTGATGATTTTTAACATATAAATACAAAATGCTTTGTCTGTTAAAATAAGAAACAAAACACGTTTATCTTACAAAAAAAATTGGCTAATATAATTTAACTTATTAAATCATAATAAAATCATGTAACCGTATATTCTTATGTGGAAAGTTTGTTAAATGGCTTCGCAAACTCGGAAATGCGTACCTAGGATGTCAAAAGAGTAAGTGGAACGAGTAGTGAAAGTTAAGATAAGGGATAACATTTTAGTGAAGCAGAATTCGCAAACTTACGTAAAATTGCGAATATGAGGGGCTCCTCTAAACTGTTACGAAAATGTGTTAGAGTAAGACAATACCACATGTTTCAACGAGTTCTCGTTGTAATAATGTTTCATTAACCTTTAAACCACCACGCTCAAAAAAATTACCGCTATTATGCTCTCACTAATTTTATAAGTTAATTATAATAAAAATGTATGTTTTCTGAATATTTGCGATGGGGAAAAAGAAAACTATGTTTTAATGTGAGGCTTAACAAAAAAATCTCGTATACAGTAGAAATAAAATATATTTAAATGGTGACAAATAAGAAAATGGTTGACAAATGTAACGTTTCAATAGCAGTCTGTGAGATTATAGTGGTTTAAAAGTTATATTAGCCCTACTCTTGCTGTTTCATGAATGTTCATCCTTTTTCATCATCATTATCAACTTCTTTGTAAAATCTTTTTTTGTAAAAACTATTGCATTACATATAGATATAAAACATTTACGCTTTGTTAGATAAAATCTATATTGCTTTACTTTTATTCATTGAGCGATGTAATTACCGGCTTAATTATTTATATAGTAACATGAAGAAACGATTTATCGATAAAGACAATAAGTAATTGGGAAAAGAGGTGAGATCAACTGAAATGAATGAGGAAGTTACAGTTGTTTTCTGGATCATGGTCAGAGGTTCTCAAGGTCAAATACCCTTCATCGATGAAACCTGTTTGGAGCACGAGAAGAAAGTCGTGGCCCAAACCTGATTGCCGATCGCCTCGGTGTCTGAACTTTCGTGGTGACCTCCTTTTCGAATATCCCCGATCTCCCGCTTCCATCTCGACACGTTTTACGTTTGTCTCTTTCTGGAAGCTGCACGGCGATTTATCGTCGTACCCATTCGCTCTCACCGTTTCGCTTGAAATTCAAGCGATACATAATTGGGAGCGTCGCTCCAGGCGTGTCTTATCAGACGTAGGAATTCAAAAACAGTGATCAAAGGTGAATATAGAGAAAGTATTAGTGACAGGGACTGAAGCAATTAGAAAGACTATTAGAACGTGGCTTACTTATCTTTGAAATTTTTAACCAAAATTTTAAATAAATATTTGAACAAAGAAAAATTTAGAAAAATATTTATTAAATTACATTATCAGTGATTATATCTCATTATAGAATCTCGCTCAAGACGAAAATTATGAAAAATTGGGGACGTGTAATTAATTAATTCTAATCGCGTCAGCATGCACAGCTTGCGAACGGCAACGACAAACCAAGTTATTACGCCGTGATACGTGCTGGTGGAATCTGGCAATAAAATTTGCATTAATCGTTCTCGACCGGCGGAGAGCACAGGAAACGGAAACGCAGAAAAGTAGGATACGTAATAATGTATGGCGCGTATATTAGGGAGAAGAAAAAGAAGATATTAATCATGAAATTTAAAAATTCTCCATTTTTCGTACGTTTAACAAAATATCAAAGAATTTATCAGTTAATGGTGAAAGCGAAACATTCTCTGTAAATTCGTACTTTCTCCTTATTAGTAATAATTAACCAGCAGCGACAAAATTCACGAGGAATGCTGACTTTTCGTGAGTCTCAGCGTTCACTGGAATAAAATCAACCGCCTTTTAGTATCAATAAATGCGAAGGAATGTAAAGACGCTTAAAAATTTATAAGAAAATAAAAGAGAAACACCTTGTAGATATAAAGTGAGAATGAAAATGGAACAAAACACTTAAATGGAGAATCATGAACTGGAGTCAAAATACCGTGAAGACAACGACTATTACTTATGAACTATTTGCCGTCGTGTGATGTATGGCGCGAATCGTCGCTAACTACGTACATAGATTTAGATGACGGCTGGTACACAAGAGAGTCGAGGGCAGCACGTGAAGGAAGAACCGACGAGGAAGATCGGAAACTGTATGAGGCGTAGTGAAAAAACAAAGGAAGAAAATAGAAGAAGGCGAAAAAGCATGGAAGCAACCGAAGAGGCAACCGCGAAGGCCACAAAGGCCACGGGCTCACCCAGTGACTGCTCGTTACTCTGGCACGTCTCCAAGTCTACTCTACAAGCTTTTTCTATTTTACCCCTTAGTTTTCCGTTCGCCTGATTTATTGCTATATTGCGCGTCACAGTTCGGCCGCGCTCAGCAGCCGCCACCATTCGTGACAGCGATTTCGTGAGGCACCGATTCTTTAAAGTGGAACAGGGACCTCAAATTTGTTGATTTGTGACGAAAGACATATCGATTTTCTGCTACCATTGTGCAGACTTTTTATTAATTAGAAATATTGTAAGCATGGTACACTTTTATAGCAAACGTTGTCTTTACTTTTAAGTAGTTAGTTGACAAATCTAAATATAATCATTTGCATAGCATTGAAATGATATCTCACCAATATAATACCAATATTAATACAATTCGATTTTTTTTCATTGAAATAAAATATTTTTTTCTATCTAAACGCAATGGACTTTTCAATCGTAAAATTTTAATTTCACACGTTTAGAGATCTGCAGATTCTGAACACAAAATAATAAAGTTATATTGAATTAGAAAATGGTATTTACACTAGATTCTGCATTCTGTACACTCGTTATGAACATTTTACAGGTGTTTCAGCAATTAGCAGATGAATTAATGCATTGCGTACGAGACGGAACTTGCACATAGATTACGCGTAACGCGCCCATTATTAAGTCGCATGTTTGTCCGTAACGGTGCTTCACAAACGACCGGGACAGTTTCAGGAGCGTCCATCATCCACGGAAATAGTTGAAATTCTCCGGGCAGCCGCCGGAAGCGTGAAAGTATATATTGCGCGCGTACAAAACGCGAACGAGTGTGGGTCTCCGGGTGCCGTATATCTTTGTAATAAACTCAGGCGACCCCAGCCCATTCGGGCCTGTGCGCGCTACCCTTATGACCCGTCGACGTTAATTACCAGAATAATTGCCCAGGATGGAAATTCAAGCCTTACGTAGACATGCTTTGTGGTGTTAGTCGGACAGGTCAGGCAGCACGCATGATCCTTTTAACACGGCGATTCTATGTCATGCGAATACAGTTTTTATTTTCAGACATGGAATACTACCATTTTCAGACAATATTTACTTAATTATTCAAATCAGATAACTTTTAAGAAAGTAGAAGAATTTAAATGTCTTTGCAAGAAACGTAAAAAAAGTTGGAAATTTTGTCTAGATGAAAAAAATATATCATTAATAAAGCAATATTTATTAACTTTAATACATGTATCTAGTAAAAGATTAATCTTTGAAACGAACAATGAAGAAAATTTTGACTTTATTACTCTGCGATAGTGCTTTTCATTAACGATCGAGCCTTTTACCTTGACACCCGCGGATAATTCAGACGACGGTTGTCGCTCACGAAACGAACAAGGAAGAGATTCGCCTCCTTGGAAATTCGCCAAAACTGTGGCACGGACTCTCAATTTACTAGCCAGTTTGACTTTCTACGTGCCCGAAGTACACATACCTCCGTTCCTTTAGACTAAGAAAAACATATATACAGAGATACGTGCCATTGGCGTATATCTGTCCTACAGATTTGCACGTTTAATGGAAGTTTAAAAAAATTTGAGCTTTTTAACTCATTGTTAGTAATAAATATAATTGATAAAAATTCTTTAATTTTTTAAAAAGATGTCGATTTTCAGAATCTAGAATTTAGATCTTTTTATAAATTGTTTCTAAAACAATAAAAATAATTACGATAAAATGTGAACAATTGTACAAAGTCGTTTTAAAATTCAGTTGTATTTTTTTACCAAAAAAAAAAGTAAATTTTACATCATTTAGACGTATCTAATATTTAGATTATTATTAAACTAAAAACTATATTATTAAACTAAATTAAAAATAGATAAGATTTTAGGAACAAGTTCTTGCCAATCACTACTTATAAAATTATGATACGTGGTACTTTTAATTTTAAATATCTCAATAGGTAGATATTAGCGGAATTATTGGATAGATTCTCTCAAATCAGAGCTAACAATAAAGTGCGAACTCCCTCCTCCTATTCTACAGTTATAGAGGCTGTGCGTGTATCCACATGGATAAATACACGCGCGCATACGCGACGATAAGTCCAATCCGTGTCTCTTTCTTGCGAGAGCGTACGTCTGCACGCGAAACTACAGTGGGTTTTGGTATCCGCAGAAGAGCAGAAGTTACTTAGGAAATTGGAGACATATCCCCTCTTTTCTTCCCCGTCCGTCACGGTTATCCACAAGATACATCCTGTACTGCGATTCTTTTCGCGAAGAAGCGAGAGACGAAGATGTATGCAGAAGAAAGAAGGAAGGAAGGAAGGAAGGAAGGAAGAAAAGAAAGAAGGAACGGAGATACAAAAGGAGGACGAAAGGGAGAATAAGCGAAAAGAGTGAGGAGGCGAGGGAGGAGATGTGCTCTCGCATAAAATTCTCGTTACCCCACGTACTATGTATCGAGCAGCTCTCGAAACGACACGCTGATCCTCACTCCTTCTCATCTTCTTCTTAAACCATCCCCCTTCCGTGTTCTGCCTTCAAACCCCCGGCATACCGCCGCTCGTCCTCGAAATTGCATTTCGCTCGACTGTCGCGGCTCGTTTGCTCGAATGCGCCGAGAGCTTCCCGGGAATAGGCTGCCTTTAACTTCGAGGCTGGCAGCGGGGGTGACGACGACGATGACGGCGATGGCGACGACGGCGGTGCACAGTTCTATTAATTCGAATTACGGAAACGGACTTTACACCACACGTCGCAAATACGTGCGACGTCTGTTTAACTGCGATCTCGCTTAGTTAGTATGTTGAAGCGAACGCGCACGAGCCTCTCATATCCATGGAATATGTCGAGCATTTGGCAGAACGAAAATATCGATATAGCATACTATAGAGACAATCGTTGATGTATGTCTTGGCTGATTTAATTACTTTTATAAACTTTCAAATAATAGTAGCATCATTTCTTTTTCTGTCTTTCTCTCTCTCTCTCTCTCTCTCTCTCTCTCTCTCACTCAATATAAGTATTTATTCAAAATATTTATAAATATATTAAAAAAGAGAGAATATATATTTAGAGAGTACACATACACATAGAACATTATTGCACAATAATTTTGCAATAAATATAACAAACTTTATTTATTTTTATAAAGCGCCACGATCTTAAATATATTTGCAAGCAGTACAATTAAAATATATATTTCATACAAATGAAATATGCATTGAACAGTTGCTTTTCAAAAAGTGTTCCAGACATAATATAAATAATCTTTAATAGAAGTCTGAATTACAACAATTTCTTTGCAATGATCGAGATAGGCTAGTCTTTGGAGCGCGTTACATGCATGCCCGATTCGGCAAAATAAAGTTTTCCAAAAATAAAATTTACCGCAGACTTCGCAACCGTCGCGAAACTTTGATAAATGGGATTCTTAAAAGTTTCCATCTCTCTAGCATTAAGTAAAATTTCCATATCGCTATCATATTTATGCGTACAAGAGAACTTACGTTGCACAACGATCAATTGTGCCGAAAGCAACCGCACTTTGCGTTTTTGCTATAGCGTCGCGAAGAAAATAGTTTGAAAGTATTCTCAGAATCCACTTCCTGTGACGTTTTCCATGTTCTCTGTATCCGACTGCACGCTATGCGGAATGATGAACGATCCTTTCTGCATCCTGTATGAACGCTGAGCGCATACAATGTCAATTTTAGCCGCATGTATCAAATTTGGCGAGGCAGACGCATTGCCGTCGCTTCAAGCAAACTGATATTAGAAATATATATATATATATATATATATATATTCATATTTGCGGTCCTAAATAGACGAAGTTATTTTATTTTTTAGCATTCTATGACGGATATAATATATGTACCTATTATACAAAATAATATCAAATTTTTCTGTAAAAGTATAATAAGTATGAAACAGTTGTTATAAAAATATTTGAAAAACTTGATTGTACAAAGATAAAATTTTTTTTATCAAAAGTCTTTCGCTATTTAGTATAATTTTTTAAATAAGTACTTGGTCTTATAAATGTAATCAGAGATCACGATTTCTTTGCACGTGTACGTTCACGAATTATACTTTGTTACACAAATGTATACGTTATCTTAATATTACACTGTTGGACGTCTAAATACATCTTTCATTTAGCCGCGTGTAAATTAACGGATAGCGGAATACAGCATCAGAAATAACGAGGCAAAGTTGCATCACCTGGTGCATCGTACAATGGAAGGACCTACCTGAGCATTCCGTCTAAATTCAATTAAGAAGAACGAAGTGCCTTCCAAATATCTTACTGAAACGTTCGAGGAATATTTCTCTCTTAGAAGGTATGATTAAAAAAAAGGAGGATCTTTGAAAAAGGAAATTTCGCTGATAAAGACTACAATGGCGAAAGTCTAGAGGCACAAATTAAATTAAATTAAACACAAAATCGTGCTTTTCCTACTATTTAATTTGAAAAAATGAATTAATTTTCCCATAATCTATAAATCAATTTTAGTTTTAATTGATTTATATTCTCTTACTGTAAAACAAGTTTACTGAGTGGACAATAAGTGATAGAATTTCCGACAATTACTTCGCTAAGTACCACGTGCGAATATCAACGTGTATAGTCGTACGTTAAAGCACGACGTTCAGCACTTTTCCGCAACAACACATAATACACAAAGCTTCGTCTTCGGACCGTCATTTTCTCGGAAAGTGCACGGTTCATAAATCCGTCCCACAGCAGCGAGCCCCACCTGCAGAGAGTTTATAGCTAATAAACGCAAATACCTACCGCGCTGCTTATGCGGAATACATAAAATATTGATACACATTAACTATTGAAACGACGCGACGGTGTTGTCGTAGAGGATGATACTCGTAGCAATGGTAATTCGATATCGTAAGTATATAATTAAGTATACGTAATATACTTATTGTTAGTAAGTATATTTTAAGTATAAGAATAGTAATTTTAATAATAACTCGAATGAAGAATGAAGCACTATTTTAATATATTTTTTAATAATTAAATCTTATAATTATATAACTTTATTCGTATATTTTTTATAAAATTAATATTGTATCTTTCTTTTCTTTTATTTAATACGAAATATAATTTGGTAATTACTTTAGAAGAAAAAGAGAGGAAGAAGGAGCACAGTGTTTTTAGAAATAAGTTAATTAAATAAGAGCTAAAGATTAATTTTCGAATAATTTACATTAATTTTTTAACTAAAAATGATTGGCAAATATAACGGGTTTCATTTTATAGTACTTATCAGCAAATATTTTAGACAGGCGTTGTACGATCAAAGCACATTTCCGCGTAGAGAGTCGATATCGAAGATATCGAGAAGATACCGAGCTTTTACTTGACAGATCATGACAGATACGCGCGACACCAGCATTCAGCATTGGACCAAATTGAAGAACAAAATATGAAAAATGCGATGAACGTTTTATTCATGTTAAGTGTCACATTACGATCCCGGATAGGCGTATTGGAATTTAACCTGCTAAAACGGAAGTGAATAATCCGTTAACATCTTTCACACTAGTAATTAGCATTGTGTTACGTATGATTATATGAGAAAAAGTGAAAGCTTGTATCTTCCTACTTTTCGTCGCGTAAATCAGGAAGTAAAATTATCTTCTGTACCTACGCCAGTAATAGAAAACTTTGCGGACTTCGACCGATGAGTTTTTTTTACTTATTTATAGATTCTCATTAAAACGTAATCAGTGATTATCTTAGAAGGTGCAATATTACAGCCTTATTATAGCCTTATTATATATTAAATCTAAGCTGTCACTTCCTTGAAAATTATTATCAAAGTAATCATTAGAATCATTTGATAAATTAAGCGCAGCAGTAATCTTTAACATAATTTTTTCAGACAGTGCTATCATATCAGAGTTATTTAGATAATCACAGAAATAACATCTTCTTGTGAGTATTGCCTTCTTCTATACTCGAAAAATGCACAATTGAATGCCATATTAATTGAAGCACAATCTCTTCATGTTTGCAAAAATTGTTTTAATAATTTAATTACATTAAGCTTGATTGTAACAGAATTTATTTTCTTCTATGTCTTATATAACTTCTTTTTCTTTCTGACCTAAAATATTATTTGAGCATTCCTTGACATTTTTACAATCTTGCGTTTCATGATGATAAATTTTGTTTTAATAAGCATGTCAATGGAGTTGATATAAAATTAATTCGTGCAATGTATTTGATGTTATTATTGATAACCGTTAGTAACTGAGAGCAAGATTAGTATTTGAATCAATTAATTTATGATGTTTATCACTTAATACTAAAGAAAAAAATTAATAGTTATTTTCATTTTTTTGAATATTTAATTGACACATATTCTTCTGGGGGTCAAAAAAATCAACAAGTTGGTTTAACTGACAATATTTATTTATTCAACTGAGGAAAAGCTTGCATATGAAATTCATCTGCATTTTGATTGAATTTTTTTATTCTATATCAATATTGATAGACCCACACATACACACACACACACACACACACACACACACACACACACACACACACACACATATATATATATATATATATTTAATATTAGAATATAGAATATATATACTTTAAATTTAATATTATATTCAAAATTATTTAGTTATTATGGTCAAAATAACTTTCTTATATTTTATATATTCTTTAAAGTAATTAAAAATATGAATGATTGTAAAATTATATTTGTCAGTACTTGATAACATTATGCTTTATGACATTAATCTTATAACACAATATAAGAAAAAAAAGAGAAATTCTGTTTCAGAACGAGTTGAATATTATAAAAATTTTATTATAAATTTTCAAGTCTTTTTTAACATTTTGAACTAAAATCATTTCATTATAAGAAATAAAGAATTATATTAAAAATTTTATATATTGAGGAAGAAAAAGAAAATGTACATTTAAAAAATTTAGATAAAAATATATATCGCAAAACTAAGGAATTAAATTATAATTACAAATCAATATACAGAGTGAATATTAAATAATATAAAAGATTTATCTCATGTCTTATCATTAAAAGTAAAATTCTGTCATGTAGAATCTTATCGACTTATAGTAGATAGGTCTAAGTTAGGATGATGTTCTGGTATATTATTTTTGCAAGTATATTATGCGGGCCAGCGTGAACACAGCTGTCCCGACTACCAAAAATTATGTGTTCGAGGTATCCATATGATATGAGGGATATACGCAAGGGTCTGCGGCTCCAACCGTAGTGCAATGGAAGAGCTTCGCCTTGGAGGAACCACTTTCATGATCATGATCACCTCTACACCTCAGTGATGTTTTTCACCCTCATTCGAGTCTTCTTATAAGTTAAGGTATAGAATCTTGAATACGAGAAAAACTTGAAGACATTACACGACGTAGCGTTAAGTATGTGAACTATTATTTGCACTGTGGAGAGATGTTGTTCTCGCGTAAAGACAAATATTTCGATCATGCGCGATGGATCACAATAAGGCATTTCTGTCAGGCACTTCTGTATAATAACATGTTATTCGCGGCTAATTAAGTGCTAGCATGTATTGCAGACGATCAAGCTGATACAACTGAATACAATATATGTATATATAAAATGGGCTGCACCTTATAAAACAGCGTCCCTCCGAAATTGTGCAGATACTAGTTCGATTACTTAACGTTATGTTACGCACGTCTGCAAATTTTTCTCGTATTCAAGATTCTATATCTTAACTTATAAGAAGATTCGAACGAGAGTGAAAAACATAAACTCACCAGATATAGAAGTGACTGTGATCACGAAGGCGGTTCTTCCAAAGCGAGGTTCTTCCATTGCACTACCGCAATGGAGCCGCAGACCCTTGCGAAAAATGCGAATATTCCTAATGTGGATATCTCAGACGTTATAATTTTTGGAATTGCGTTTGATCGCGCTATCCCGGATAATATATTTGTAAAAATAATATACTAGAAACACCCCCTAAACTTAGATCTACAAGTCAACCTGACAAAATTTTATTCTTATTCTGTATGTATGTATATATATAGGTATATATATATATATATATATTTATATATATATATATATGTATATGTATATGTATATGTACACATATATCTATAAACATGCAAATAACATGTGCGTAATTTTTTCTCGTAGAAATTTAAATAAATCAATTATTTATCACTAAATTTATACCACATATGTTTTTTTCACAACTGATTGAAATTTAATCGAAAGAGAAATTATCAGGAAAATAAAACATGAAAAGTAAAGCTTCAGTTTTTTAAATTTCTCTCATCCATTCTTTACAAATTGCTCTTTTAGTGTCTTTAATCGCAAACATGTACGAAAAAATGAGTCCAATGTACCTTGCTAAAATTACTTCCCAAGCCATATAATATCTTCCGTGATAGGCAGCATATAGCTTGTATACTTGCTGCTTAATGAAGGAAGAAAAAAAAGAGCGGTAGGAAACAAGGGAAGAACAGTGACGATGAGGAAAAAAAACTTTGTGTGACGTATACACGAAGGTGGATGATGAACAAGTGTTACGTCGCACGAAACCGCATCGTGCAACGAGCGTATATCTCGTTGGTGCATGCAACCGGCCAGTATAGAAGGGAAATAATATATAACGAGCTGAGAGAGAGAGATGGAGAGAAATAAGTGAGAGGTTAAATCTTATGAGAATCAAGGAGAAAAGTGTACAAACCTCGGTGTTTGGATGCTCTCGCGCATCTCACCATATCCGTACGCAGTTTCGTAATTACATTCGTGGGCGTTTACGTTTCTATATGACTGTTGTTTTTGCATGCACTCATGTAAGCGTGCACGTGGACGCATGCTGCTGCAAAATGTTATTGTTTCTTCGAGTAAAGTAGTCTGCTAATTCTGTCTTTGTTGAAAAATTGCTAAATCCTAATTTTACTCAAGCATTAACCCTTAACTAGTACGTTAACGTCGTTTGCGGATGATTAATTCATTGAAAATGTTTTTTTTAAAAATGCCTATTTTTATTATTAATATTATTTAATTATGAATCAAGAAAAAATACTATATAAATTGCTAAATAAAGAATAAATCTCATCTTAAATCTTTAGAATAATTTTTAACAGCAATAAAAAAAAACAGGAGAAATATATGTATAATGTTTACTGATTAGTTTCATAGTTTGAGATTTAAAGAAAGAATACAAATTTAAATTATGCTAAAATGTATCTTAAATAAAACTTTATTAATTTGTATTTTTGTAACAAAATATAACCATAATTTTATTTTTCTGAAATTTGTACATAATTTTCAGAAACGTAATATTGGTCTGTGGGATTGCTGTACAAGAAACCTTTCAAAATAAATCTCTTATTTCTCTTACTTTATTCATTAATAATTTACTTATTGGAAATATCTTTCTTTCAATTTTATCATTTTTTCAATTATTATATATACGTTTATAGAAAAATTGAAATTGAAATTAAAATTGTAAATTGTTTTTAAATAAGAAGTAACAATAAAAATTAAATTAACGTTTTATCTGAATGATATTCTTCTACAGAATGAAGAGATTACCTTAAGTTCAAAGAGCTAAGCGACTATTAATGCGGTAACGTTGAATAAGATGCACATTCACCTCATGACTATCGATATAACGACAGAACTGCCCGCTTTAATGCGGGCTTTCGTGCAAACGATATGATCTTTGAGGGTGGAGCTCGCAGATCACAAGAGAGAAACTGGCTTGTCTCGATCCGCTTCAACCGTGATAACATATCATGTAAATGGCCACAATCATCTGCAGGTGTAACTTTGATGGGTCAATATCAATTGTGCCGATACAAATAGGAAGCGTCCAACATTATCGTAAAAGGTTTATAACGTACTGCATTATAATGTTACTCTACTGCTCGATGTTTATTTGTAGCCATGGATCCACAATATTTCAAAAAGTTTTGTAAAGAATTATAAAGCAATTTAAAAAAAAAATTTTATTATATATAAATCATTGTTATATTGCAGAAGGTATAATGATGTCTTACCTCTCTGATGATCTTGCAACTTCTAATACTTCCAATATGCGAAAACAGAGCACACAATAGTTCTTCCGACACAGCATGATCCAAGTTGCCCACATACCTGAATCAATATTAATCATAAAAATAAGTGATTAATTACTATAAATA